CACACACACACACACACACACACACACACACACACACACACACACACTCGCTCTCTCTCACACACACCTCCAGCCTGGATGGGTGAAGCAGCAGTGACTTTGGTTGTTTGGTGGTTATAACGGTTGATCGACTGTTCTCACGCAATGTGTATAATGACATGCCTCTGCAGGGAAGGTGGGCCACCTGCATTCATTCTGATCAAAAAAAGATAGATACATATAGACTGCTGCTAGAACTGGGCTGGGTGGTGTATAAGTGACTAATATGAGACACATAAGCAATGACTTTGACTTGGTGACCATCATGAAACAAATAGCCATTAAAAGAAGAACAAATAGCATTCCTTTGTTTTGTTTTTCTCTCCGTTTCCCAAAAGATTTCCATTAATTTTTGAAAATCAATGTCAGATTGAGAGGGTTGTTCAAAAGCGCCCTTTAAAAAAATGGTTGAACATACATTCACTGTGACTTGACTATAAATTCAACGCAGAAAAATATAATTCTTTCTTAATTAAAGCTTTCTTGCTTTTCTGTAATTCGCCATTCTTCCACTCTGTAAATTAATGCAATGTTGCCTGTTTTTTGTATCAGTCTGTAAATGTAATCACAGTGTGATCCTGTATTGTGCTGCAGCATGGCACACTGGCAGATAACTGTTTTTTTATTGTATGTTGAAAAACTTCAGGCAATTCATTTAAGCTAATTGGGAATAACAGAAACAAAGGGTGTGACAGACACACACACTCTCACACACACACACACACACACACAAAGCACAGAGAGGAATAAATAGTTTTTTCAGGGTCTTGACTTGAGTTGGTATTTTCAATAATTCAGTGAATTACTGCAAACAAATTTATGTTAATAGAAAAGGTGGGAACCAACTGTTTAATATGGGGAAAGTAATATACTTTTGTTAATTATGATTAATCCTTTGTTTAACCCCCCTGCATTACAGAAACTCCAATTATAAGTTTACAGGTAGTGGGACTGCTTATGGTAATGCCATATCTCATCAATTACCATCCCGTGACCGTAAATTGGCCTCAGCGCTGACAACGAGACGAGGTTAACACGCTGATTAATTTGGGCTGCTGTGATTTCAGGCTCAAGTTGACACTTATAATCTTTGACACAGACAGTGAGGTTCGCTCACTTTCATAATGGAAAAATTGTATTTACCTCTCTCTGAGCCGAGTTTACAGACATTACATCTCACATCAGGATAATTTGAAATTAAGGTAACGCAAACAAGGTGAGTTTCTCTTATTATACAAATGATGGGCAAGTAATGAAGAACTTTGAATAAATGTCAAATGATCAAAAGGTGTAAAAGCTAAACTGCTTAACATGGATTATCTGTATTTTTTGTTATGACACACATGTGATGTAGAAAACACTGTAAAAGCTAGGTGCAATAATAAATCAGAAATAATGGAAAACGTGTCTGTTTAACCACTTCAGTATGACAGTGTGTCAGTTTGGATTCATAAATGTCTGAGGAATGTGTTTGTCCATTGCTTCAGCAACATAATCGACATTCTTACTATTTCCATGTTACGGATGCTGTGGTTTAGTTTCCAACGCATTAATTGTGAGGCCTACTGAGCTGCTAAATGTACAGTTGTGTGAAACCGCAAAACGTTTTCTGCATTTTGTTTCACTTGTTCCTTGTAATATAGTCTCAGAAACACCCCGACCAACTTCTCTCACTATTTATTCATCTAATTGATATTTTGCCTAATGGATTTGTGCTCATCACTTTGTTAGGGGTCTGATTGACAGGTGCGAAACAGCTCCTCCCATAAACAGCTTGTTCTGCATTAGTAGACTGAGGTGAACACGTTATTGATAATGCCTCATAGGACAAACACACGATTTTATCATAGATTTGCTTCAAGTTTATTGCTGTAATTCAAGTTTCTAAAAATGACTTTAATCTGAAGTTAGTCTCTGTGTGGGTGGGTCCAGTCTGTCAGTGTTTCTGTAGGTCTATTTGCAGTTACATCCATATAAATAATAATGTCAAAGATATACTGGCTTGGTCCATGTAACTACAATTTGAAGACAGCCTAACTAAACCACTTCAATGATACCAAAAGTGTGGCCATTTGGCCTATATTCTGTATGTACATATAGACATTTGGAAACTAGCTAAAACCTAATAAGGTACTTTTGCTGTGGCTCCTACAGTAATTTATAGGATTAACCTGCAGATATCAGAGTGTGACCCAGATACAGGCCGATAGGTGAAGTCTATTAATAGGTTTATTGACAGGCTGAAATGTGATGGAATTCCCGTTGTCTTCTGTAACATTCCCATGAGAACTGTGCGGCCTTGTATTTTCATCTCCTCTGGTATTTCTGCAATAATATTGGATATTATAACAAGTTCAGTTTTGCTGCAACTAATCAATTGTTTCATAAGTACTTCTCGACAAAGGATCATAACAGCCAACTTCAGCCTTCAATTAAAAACTATAGAAACTATATACTATATATACACACACACACACACACACCCACACACCTGTGATATCTCTTGTTTAGTTACAGTCCATCCAGTCTGCTCAGTGGGATGACCGTCATGGTTAAAAGCAATGACCGCCACATCCCAGCACTGACATCTTTACCGCTCCTGTCTGCCACACTGGGACCAGTCACCCTTCATAAACCCTTTAACCCAGTCACCTCAGACACTGGTCACTGAGCAATGACCACTAATATAAGTTTGCGAAACAACATTACATCCAAAAATATATAGTAAAAATCCCATTATAATTTTTGATGGCTACAATCCAAATAAACTACAAGTACCATCAACAACCGACTGGAAGGGTGGGTCAGTATACTGAGGGTCACGCACAGGCTACAAAGTGGCTAAAGGAATTTGTACAAAATGGACATTATATATCTCGTTAAACTTAATGGAGACATGAATCATTCTTGTGTTGACATTCTTGAAAATTACTTTTATTTGTTTGTTCATTTTTAAATTGGTACAAACCCGTCAATGTGGAGCATTTGATCAAACATTTAAGAAATGTGTCAAGTAATAGCACATACAATAAGTTAAAACATGTCACAAAAAAGACCAGCGGGTACATAGCAAGAATGTTCTATGTACACAAAACATCCTAAAACAGTGTAGGCCTACCGAAAGATCATTGTTTGTTATTTTTTTCCTCTTAAGATTTATGCTCCCCTCTCATGCAGACGAGACTGCAGGTCGCCTCACAAAAGTACCTCTTCAATCTGAGTGGGCATCATTTTCTCCTTAAATTATCCAAGCGTTTAAATCCACATGCACAGTGCATGCCTGAGACCCAGTTCAATAGGCCCACCTACAGTGTGGTGCGTGTGTGGTAGGCTGTTACCAAAATGTATACCCAATCTTATAAATAACCGTTTGACATAACACAACTTCACCTGAACACAATAACGTGTGTGCATAAAGACACACTCAATGAAAACGCAAATACGACGATTGTTTTAGCTCTCAGTAATTAGGGCCTTTAGTCTAGAGAGCATTACAATAGTATTTATCATCAATAGTTGATAAAATCCTTTTGAATTAAGATAAATAACCCCATATGTTTCTTCCATTTGTCCATCAGTGTTGTCCTTTTCTTTCTGCCATTATGCCTAGATGAAGTACAGCCTCCATTTTCTCGCATTTCAGGCCTGATTAGCTCGCGCGCTCTCTCGTTTTGATCTAATAGCGGGAATAAAAACAGAAAAAAGAGCCGCAGGGTGGGGCTGGGGAGGGGAGGTGGGAGAAGAGGAGTGCGGCGGGATATTTTTTGAAAAGTCACTAAGTGAAACTCATGGACACTGTGTGCTCCAGCGCTTTGCGCCGCAGTGACGCGATGCTTGTCCCTCTCCACATGTCACTGTCCGGGGAATTACACAGCTGCGGCGAGCCCGATACGTTCGTGGGGCCGGAGAGAGAGGCCGACATTCCTGGGAAATGCGACTGGTAGAGGTGGGACTGCAGACCGGAGCCGTTGGAGGAAAGGCCGTTGGAGAGACCCATGGAGTTTGGTGGCCCTGGGCCCAGGCTGCACTGTGACAGGGACTGCATGCCCGGCTGGCGACCCAGGGCCGGCGGGAGCTGCAGCTGGGAGACCCCCGGCATCCCCGTGGCCCAGCGAGAGTCGTTGGCGTGGAAGGAGCATAGGCTGTTCTCCATGGCGGCCGCGGCAGAGAACTGTTGCAGGCCCGGTGTTGGGAGCAGCGTCCCCGGGGAGCGGAAAACATTGCTGGTCTTCTTCCTTTTCTTCCATTTGGCGCGTCTGTTCTGAAACCAAACCTGCGAGCAGAGAGACACGACCGTGAGCCATGAGACGGACAGACTGAGAAACATATGTCTGGAGCAGTATCTGTCTATATTACACCGTGATGAGGGCATCAAGGCGGATGTTGGAAACATGTTCGTAGGATACGTGTTTGTGTAACCATGGGAGAAAAATACCGTTTATGCACGATAATCTCCCTAAAATCTCGCCACACACAGACTAACTTTAAGGCTCTAATAGGACATTAGTGTCTTTATCATATTAATACAACAATATATATATATGGGTAATTGTATGTAATAGCAAGGACAGCAATAGCGTTAAAGGCGGTTGGAGATCGCGTCCTTCATAGCACCCTGCTATAGTGTCCTCAACACAAATTCTCTATACCAGCTGGTCTGAATCGGACCCTGTACTGTCAGTGTTGAGCTGGGACAAACGAAATGAACAAGATATAAATGTAGACCATCGGCAATTGGCCTGAGGACCTTTATCAGAATATATTCACTGCCATAGCCTAATAGGCAGGACGTTGAGGCATTCATATCAGATGTATGAATCGTTCTAAATTGCATTAGTATATATATAT